TTCCCCACAGTGCAGAAACATGATGAGTCTAATAGGGTGGGGGTGTGGGTGCGTGTGTGGGTGTGTGCACGCACATGCGAGACAAAGAAATAATTTCAAGATGATGAGATGATGAGTGAAATGTTTTCTCCTTTCAATTTTTCAGATTTTTCTAAGTCTCCCACAGAGAAGGCCTCCCTAAAGCCAGAGGAGCCGTCAAGAGCCCCCGCCCGACCACGCCACTGCTGCTCACGTGGATGGTGTGTTCGCATCTGCTCTTCTGGCGGTGGGCTTCCTCCACATCCCTCTCCAGCCTCTCCCTCTCCTGCTGCAGGGCGCTCAGCTCCTGGGTCACCTTCTTAATGTTCCTACGCAGTCTGTGGTTCTCTGCACTCTTGTTGAGGTTTTCGGAGTTCAGCTGTGCTAAAAGGGCTGCCTTCTCTAAGAGAGCAGCCTCATAATCTTCGGACCCCTACAAGAGGAGGGAGGCAGGGGAGATGAGCTGATTTCTGTAGCACACTAAACAGACCAAGAAATCTGGGCTCCTTTTTCACCTTGGGATGGGGGGAAGGGAGTTAAGGAACGAAAAGAGGAAGATTAACATAAACAACCTCCAGGACCCAAAGCACAAATAATAGGAAGATTCTGAAATAACACAGAGTGATGATTATGTTACCATGTTGATGTTACCATGTTGATATTAAGAGGGGAAAAGGCTACAACTGTGTAAAATAAGCTTTTTTCTTTTTTAAAAAACTTCAAGGAAAAGCAAAGAACGTCAGAAACTGTCTTTAGTTGGGTGGGTACATGGGTGATTTTCTTCCTTCACTTCTTTCAAATGTTCTAAGGTTACTGAGCATTTTACTTTTGTAATGGTTTAAAAAAGAAAAACTTCAACAAGTTATTTATAAAAGGTAGAACATGAAGAGCACCACCTGAGAAGCAGAGGCAGACTCAAGCATGGGCAATGCTCACGGAGGTTAGAGCAGCTCGGACCCAAAGTCATCTGGGGAAGCAGAAATGGTCAGCGTGGCAGCCCCATGGCCACCGCGAGCGGCTGTAAATTCAGCAGAGTCCAAGGGTTAGTTCTGTCCAGAACATCCTTACTTCATTAACACACAGTTTAGTAGAAAAGAAAATACATATGCGATTATCAAGCATTTGAAAAAATACTGTAACTCACCAATAATCAAAAAGAGCAAATTAAAACAAGCTTTCATGTAACAAGAAGGTTTTAATGAGAATATCCAGTGCTGTCAAACTTACTATGAAGCAACACAATTAATATCAACTTTTCAAGAGCTGACCGAGCATCCAGAAGCCAAGAAATACACTGGCAGGAATGTAAATTAATATAACTCTCTATGGACAGATTACATACCCCAAGTGTGTGTGTACAGGATAGACGTGTTCACACTCATCCCAACGATTCGGCTCCCAGGATTCAATCTCAGGGGAAGAATCCAAAATACAGGGGGGTAAAGCCTTATGTACACAGTCATCCATCAGAGATTTACTCTAACAGGAAAAACTAAGAACCTAAACCAATAACATGGGGATATTCCAAGTCACAACATGATATGAAAAAATAGAAGATTAAATTGTGAATGAGCTAAAAAGTAAAATCTATGCATAGGAGAAAGCCGAGAAAGAAAAACATCAAAATGTTAACAGCGTGGCTGGGTGATCTCCTGATGCCCCTTTTTTTCCTTCTTTCTAGTCTCCCAAAAAGGAAATTTGTAACATATATATTACTTATAATCAGGAGAAAATAAACCTTTTTTTTTACATCTGTTCTTTGGATTAGACAAAGGCTCATGATTAAAAACTCAATAGCAAGGGACCCGTGAGCCGTCAAGGCCACAACTCAGACTGTGGGGTAAGGGGACTGGCTCCAGCTTCTTGGCCTTTCCAGGAGATCCAGCTCTGCCACTAATGCTAGTTAAGTCCTAGCTGTTAGGAGAGGTGGGCTACGGCCACAGTTACTCCAGGAGAGGTGAGGCCCAGCCATCCCATGTTTCCCCATTGCTGTTTAGGTCCTAGCAACAGGGACTGAGGGGAACCCCATTCACATTTCAAAGTGGGGTTTATAGAAGCTTCTGTTTCACCTTCCTTTAAAATCAAAAAAATTTTTAAAGATTTTATTTATTTGATAGAAAGAGAGCACATGCAAGAGAGAGAGAGAGCGCGCACACGAGAGAAAGAAAGTACGTAAGCGCTTTAGGGGCAGAGGGAGAAGGAGAAACACGCTCCCCACTAAGCAGGGAGCCAGAGGACAGGGGCCTCGATCTCAGGACGCAGGGACCATGACCTGAGCTGAAGGCAGATGCTTAACCGACTGAGCCACCCAGGCGTCCCTAAATCACGAGGCCTAAAAAAAGAAAAATATCTGGGGCATTGCTTATTTAAATAAACTCAAAAAACAAAAGAAGACGAACAACGATAGGAAAAATGCTCATCTTGAGCCATTTTCATACTTAACGTTTTATTAAGCACTGATTACATACGAGGAGCTAAGCCAGGCGCTTCTGCACACATTCTGTATCTGTATCTCCACTTCTCACACCAACCCTACGAAGCACACACTACTGGCCCTATCTAAGCAACTGAGGCTCAGAACTGTTAAGTGACGAGCCTGTCATCAGACCATAAGTGATTAAATGTTGGACTCTCTCCACAGCACTACACTGCCGCACCCATTCCAGGGACGATCCCAATTAACACCAATAAACTAGCAAGAATTAAAACAAGAAGACTGAATTCAAGGAGGGGAAGGCTAGAGACAGGAACACCAATTAGGAGCCTGTTAAACACAGGCCAGCCATGGTGATGATTAAAATAATAGTTATCATAAAGTGATGAACGTTCTGCGGGTTATTATGCAAATAACGATCACAGAGCCTCGTTTAAAAAGTTCAAATTCATACTCACACCATAAAGATACTTTCCATGTTCAATTTTCCTTAAATGGCCCTCTGAGACCCTTCGGAAAGGTTTGTACCTTTTTCTGCACAACACCCTGATTTCTGAATTCCTGTCGTCAGAGGGGGGTTTACAAACAGGCGGCAAACGTTTGGCACGATTAGACCTAGACGGAAACTCAAGGCCAAACATCGTATGAGCCAAATCACTGTTCCCCACAGTGCAGAAACATGATGAGTCTAATAGAGAGAGAGTCACAGAGCCCAGGGTTCGAAGCCCAGTTCTAGCTATGTGACTTGGGAGGGGTTAACTTTTCTGCAGCTCAGCTTCCTCATCTGTGAAATCTCTATTTCATGGGGCTGTCGTGAAGACGAAACATGATGCTGAAAGTCCCGTGTCCGGGAGTGCAGGACCAATAAATCTAGTTGCCCTTCTCCGGCACAAACATGATCTTCCATTCCCAATCAAGAGACACTATGGAGAGTTTCCTCAAACTAAAAGCTATTTGCACAATACCATTAACAGAGAATTTGAAAAACCAACCAAAGTAACTACTGTATTTTTATGCCCGAACATGATACTACCCAACTTAAGGATGAGTTAACAACATTTACGGAGTTACTACCTGTGCCCAGGTACACCGTGTCGTGTAATCCTTGTAAGGATACTGTGACCTAAGTGTGATTATCCGGACTTTACAATGGGTAAGCAGGCTGGGAGACCTCTAACATCTTGCCCACAGCTACAACAGCAGTGAAGAGCAGAGTCAAGATTCAAATACATGTCCCACCCATGTTCTCCCCAGTAAAAATAATATGGTACATACATAGAGTACGGCTGTTTACAAAGATTAAGGGGCACGTGGGTGGCTCAGTCAGTTAAGTGTCTGCCTTTGGCTCAGGTCATGGTCCCGGGGTCCTGGGATCAAGTCCCACATCGGGCTCCCTGCTCAGCGGGGAGCCTGCTTCTCCCTCTCCCACTGCCTGCCGCTCTGCCTACTTGTGCTCTATCTCTGTCAAATAAATAAATAAAATCTTAAAAAAAAAAAAAAGATTGTTTAAAAAGCATAGGGATAAACACACATACACACACACACACACACACACAAATGAGTGCGTGTCAAACTGCTGAAATCTGAGTAAGAACCATGGATTGCACCAAGACCGATGTCCTGGTTGTGATATTGTTATTAAAGTTAGGGAAGATGTCACCTTTGGGAGAACCAGGTAAAGAGTATACAGAAATCTACTGCATGTGAATCTATAATTATTTCAAAATGAAAATTTTAAAAAAGGAGTACGTAGATCTATATATACTGTCATGATAAGAATATTAGATGAAAAAAAGATTATAGAACAAAATAGGTATTATGATCCTTTCTACTTTTTCAAATATGTATGTATAGGGGCGCCTGGGTGGCTCAGTCGTTAAGCGTCTGCCTTCGGCTCAGGTCACGGTCCCAGGGTCCTGGGATCAAGCCCCGCATCGGGCTCCCTGCTCCGCGGGAAGCCTGCTTCTCCCTCTCCCACTCCCGCTGCTTGTGTTCCCTCTCTCGCTGTATCTCTCTCTGTCAAATAAATAAAAAATCTTAAAAAAAAAAAACAAATATGTATGTATAAATATGCATCGGAAGAGTCAAGGTGTTAATAGTGAACATCTTTAGACATGAGTTTATTGGTGACATCTATCAAACTCTTTCCACTGTTTTAAGTATTTTATAAATTCCTACAATGTGCAATTTACTTTTACAGCTGAGCAGGGAGGGGAGGAGAAAAAATGAACAAGTATGCCCCACTTTTCAAAAGTTCGCATGACGCCACTTCACTCTTACAAAAGACCTACAATAGCACCTGTTTTCGCTAACCAAAAGAAATCAGGGGGTGCCTGGGTGGCTCAGTTGGTTAAGCGACTGCCTTCAGCTCAGGTCATGATCCTGGAGTCCCGGGATTGAGTCCCACATCGGGCTCCCTGCTCAGCGGGGGGTCTGCTTCTCCCTCTGATCCTCTCCCCTCTCGTGCTCTCTGTCTCTCATTCTCTCTCTCAAATAAATAAAATCTTTAAAAATAAATAAATAAATAAAGTTTAAAAAAGAAATCAGGAGAGGATTTGCACTTTTATGAAAGAAGGCACCCAGGTATACTCACAGATACACAGAGCAATTCCGTGGTTGCCAGAGGAGAGGGGGTGGAGAGATGGGCAAAAGAGAAGAATGGGATTTAAAAAAGGTACAAACTTCCAGTTATAAAATAGGTCACAAGGATGTAATGAACAGCAAAGAGAATACAGTTAATAATACTGCAACAACTAGGGGAGCCTGGGTGGCTCAGTTGGTTAAGCGACTGCCT